GTTGTTGTTGTTGTTGCTGTTGCTGTTGCTGTTGCTGTTGCTGTTGCTGTTGCTGTTGTTATCTTTGTCTTGTAAACAAACCCGTGCCGGTCCCTGCTCAGTGCCGACCGGTACACCTAACAACACGGTCGAATGTGCATCGGGAAAAACGCACATCATCACGTTTCCCAGCGACATTTTCAAGAGGTGGTCGAATTGGGGATGAATGAAAGAGCGGAGAGCGATCAAAGCAGTTCTAGCACCCATTCTTGGAGAAAAACGTGTCTCGCGATGGGCAAGCGGCACTTTGAGGGTGTAGAGCGTATCCCCGCGATGGGCAAGCAGTACTTTGAGGGTGTAGTCTACGCCTCTCCTTGTGCTTTAATATAATGAAGCCAGCGAGTGACTTGAGGCTTGATGCAGAAAAGGCGAAAAAAAAAAAAATGCAGTATTATTGTATTGGTAAGTTGTAGTTTTCCATCGATGGGGCAGAGAGCAGGTCGTGCCCCCCGACCCCCGCCCTCATACACGATGGTCTGTTCGCGGAACTACACACAAAAATCGAGTCAAAAACATGCAAGAGATTTACTTAAATAAGTCCTCGCCCTAAGCTAAATCCGATGTCGGCAACAACAGCTATTGGCTGCCGTTCGTTGCAGATATACACACGGCACTAAGCGTGTGCCCTATCACCAAGGCTGTCCCACTAAAAAAGATGGTACCATTAGTCACCCTACCTAAAAGATGTTGTACGCATAGATACCTGTCCGCGTCGTCGGAGATGCATTCCAACTCAACCGGTCGCAAATTGCGATATCAATGTGCAGACTATCCCCCACAAACGAAAAACCAGGGACATAATTTTATTGCACGGCAATCACACTAGACAATTAAACAGCACGCGGAAGTACTCTGAACGTCCCCCGCCCAAAAATAAAAAAAAATGAACCGAAAGGAGCCCTCTCAAGGGGGGTATAGACTATTCATTGGTCGAATCTTACATCATGCACAACAGCAGAACACTTATATCCTCCCCTAGCTTGCGTGAACTTGCACCGGGCACACCGATATGATTGCGTCAAAACTTCGTCTGACATGCGGCAGCCGCCTTGAATACAGAAACCAAACGTTAGTGCACCGCTGTACCGCTAAACAGAGGAACCCTCTCGGGAACGGTCAACCCTCTTCTTTATCGCACACTACTGTGAGCATTCCTCCAGCGCCGTCTTCGCGTGCTCCCTCTGCTGCTGCAACTGCTGGTGCTGGTGCTTGGAGAAAGAGAACGATTGGGCATCCTTCCGTAGGAGGGCACGGCGGGACTCGCGGCGCGGTGCATCGGTCGATCGACTCTCCTCGCCGTTCGGTGCAACCGCTATGTAGCTCACACACAGCACAAGCTAAACACGCGTATACTGCCAAATAATTCCGAGTACACGATGCCGTGTTTTTGTTACGGCAGAATCATCATCCAAAGCCCCTGTATTGCAGAGAGGAAAATGAACGCCGCGAAATGCTATCATACATCGTGTCGTCGTTCGACACGAACCGCCCGACCGTAACATCCACCTCCGACTTGCAGCCAAGTATGGTCGCGCCTCTCCATGGATAAATAAGGACTGGACGATCACGCGCACGCGCCGGATGATGGGCCCACGTGCCATTAAACGCAGCGAAACAAACGAACGACCGCACGCACGCGCACACCCCCGCTCTCACCGCCACGCACTGATGGGCGCGCGAGGCAACCGCCACGCGGCCGCCGCGGGCGTCGTCGCCTTCGGCGCCTGCTGCTGCCCCCCCCCGCAAGGGCAAGCAGAGCTCGCGCACACCCTCGCGCAGCGGCCGCCGTGAGCATGGAAGCGGCACATGACCCGTCGCCGGTCCATCTTCAGCGTGCTACCCGCGGCGGCGGCAGTCGACCGATTCTTCCTCTTCTTGGTGGTCTTGGCCTTAGGCCTGGAGGTACCCACCCCCCCGCCATCCCACCCTCGAGAGGGGGGGGTGGTTCTTGGGGGCATGGCCAAGGCCGACCGACGCATCAGAGGAGAGAAGCAATCTCCGTAGAAGCCATCGTCCACGACAACGGGGGCGTCGCTGTCCGCGGCAGAAGCATCGGCGGGTACCCCGCCGTACGGGGGGCTCGCCGTCTCGGCAGGACTGTTGGACCTGGCTGCGGCGGCTGCGGCGACGGCGGCGGCGGCGGCGGCGTCGTGGTAGTGTTCCTGCCCTCCGCGGCCCACCTCCACGTGCTTGAGTATCCGCTGCCGTCGCCGTGATGCCTCACGCGATACGGCTGCTGCCGCTTCGCTCAAAGGCGGCGGCGGGGCACCGAATGATGCCTCGAATGAACTCCTCCCCGTTAGAGTGCCTGCAAACGACCCGTGGTCGTTGTTCAGCACATCGATAACTTCGCCTCTTGCAGCCCCGCCTGTTGTAGCGATCCTCTTGCCCATCTCACCCTCTCCGTTCACCAAGGACGCCGCCGAAGGCTTGAGGTTCGCCCCTCCCGTTCTCCGTGCGCGTTGCGCGCTTTCATCTCCTCTTGCGACTGCCGCCACCGCCGCCATCGCCGCCGCCATCGTGGCCGGCCGGTTCCAGTAGTCCACGTCCTGCGCACGGCCGGACGCCCGCAACCTCTCCGAGCCCGTCTCCGAGCTCCGCGTGGTCCCGCTGCCGGGGGACGACGCCTCTGTGTCCTCTTCCCTCGCCGGTCGGTGGTGGTGCATCATGCCGTCACGGGACCTCTGGTGGTAGTGGTCCTTCACCTGCGGGGCGGCGGCGGTGGTGCCGGCGGTCGCCGCTGCCGCTCCTCCTCCGTTCCACGGGGACAGCAGCGCGCCGCTGCAGCTGCGGCTGCTGTTGCGGTTGCTGCTGCTGCTGCTGCTGCTGCTGCTGCTGCTGCTGCTGCTGCTGCCTGCCCTCCTCTCCGCGTCCGTCGCCGCCGCCAGCGCCTCCAGCCGGGCGGTCATCCTCGCCCGCCGCGCCGCCCGCCTACCGTCCGGGGCGCGGCCTGCGCCTTCTGCAGAGTCCACCACAGAGGCTGCTGCTGCCGGCGGCTGCTCCTGCTCCTGGTGGGGCAAGCCCACGGCCAGCAACTCTCTGCCGGCCGGTGGACACGGCGACACGTGTCCGCCTCCAAACGACCCGTGAACGGGGGCGGCCGTTGCGGCAGGGTCCGCGCCGTCGCCGGTGGCGGACTTCGTCCCCTGCGCCATCGCCGCCACCGCCGCGTTTGCCTCCAGCGCCGACATCTCGGCCCCCTCTCGGTCGACGCGGGCGCTCTTCGCGGCAAGGGCCGCCCGCTGCGCGGAGGCCTCGGCCCGGAGGGCGGCGCTCTCCGCGCGTTGGGTAGCCGCGGCGAGCTCGTCGCTCCCCAAGACTACGGCTGCTGCTGCTGCTCCTGTTGCTGGGCGCTGTCCCGGGCTGATGACACTTGTGCCTTGGTCTTGCGTGTTCTGCCAATCACTGTACTGCTGCTGCTGCTCCGCGTCGTCCTCCGCCGCAGGCGACACCGGCGGCAAGGCGTGTGCTGCTTCTCGACCGAACGCAAGCCGTTGGTCTTTCCTGTCCACCCCGTCAGATCGATCTAGACGTACACCGACCGGTTGATGTTCCCCTTCCTGCCCTCGCCCGTCCTCCTCCCCTTCTTCCTGAACCTCCGAGGTGACGTCGAAGCCAACCCCGACAGCGTTACCACCGCCACCAGCACCGCCGCCGCCGCCGCCGCCAACTCCCGTCTCCGCGGAGCAATCCGCCGTCGAGAGCTCGTCCTCGTCGATGTCACCACCACCATCGCCGCCGCCAACAAGGGACGCGATTTCTTCCCTCCTTCTCCTCCTCGTCCTCCTCCTTCCCGATGACCCAGACGACCCAGATAGATACTCGAGGTCGAGCGTTTCGGCATCGTTCTGCTTCTGCCGCAACTGCTGTTCCCCCGCCTGCATCCTCCCTCGCCCTCCGGCAGGCTCCTTCGTCTTGCACCTTGCGTCCGCCCCCCGGGGCGACCGCTGCTGCTGCTGCCGCCGCCGTGTGCCGCCATGCCTCTCCCCTTGCCCAACCCTCTTGTCGCCGTGGAATTCATCTTCACCTGACACGAGGCCTGATGGTGAACCCGCCGCCGACGCCGACGCCGACCCCGCCGTCACCCCCAGTTCTCCATCAGCTCGGCCGTGGCTGTCTCCCTCACACCGTGACGATGGCGATGACGACGACGAGACATCAAGGTCGTCATCTCCGTCGTCTGCTGCGCCCGCCCCCGGCGTGATTCTCCCGACGGCGTCGTCGACAGCGGTGACCGTGTCCACGCTCGCCCGTGCCCGACCCTTCCACGTCCCGGCGCCGTCCGTCAGCGCGGCGGACCTCACGGAACCGCTGTCGCTGTCGCTGCGCGCAGCAGCAGTGGCGGCGGCGGCGGCGGCGGCAGCAGCAGACGCAGGAGGAGCGTACGATGAAACGCCATCTCCTTCCATCACTCCTTCTTGGTTGCTGGAGACGGTTTCGTCTCCTTCGGGGGTTCGGGGCCCCACTGTGTTGGCACTGCTACGGCTACCGCCGCCATCGCTCCGACTCGCCTCCTCGATCGGTCGCTCGCAGGGAAGCTCGTCCTGGCCATGACGAACGAAATATGGGAGCAAGGCAATCAGTTGATCGTCAGGGGCTGGTGGATTTAGCTCTAACTCCCAGAGGAGGGCGGATAGAGGGTAGGGGTAACTGCTATGGTGTGAAGGAGGGTGGCTTGGGTAGGGGAAGGGGGGTAGCTGCCTGACCCGAAAGCGAAGGTTGTTGCGCTTGAATGAAATATCTGAACCTCGTTGAGTGCCGCCTGTGCTACTTATTATAGAGCGTCGCTCTGGTTAACGCCTTGCACCGTCAGAGATGTATGCCTCCTCAGCTGTCTGCGTTGGGGCTGGACAGTGCCCCACATACACCAAGTGTCCCTCTTGCAATTCACACGGATATAAACCGTAGCCGAGACAATACTTTCGATTGAGGTTATATCGGAAAGGTGTCATAGAAAGGGCAACGTGTCGACTGGCGCCAGAACAGACGACGAACACACACATTTGCCATCAGTCTACTTGCTCCAAAGCTTCTTCTGTTTGACTCCAAGCGCCAACCGACTGCTCGTGCGAAGGTGGCGTACAAACTCAGCTTGCCTATTGCAGACAGCATTGAAAGAGAGGCAGGCACAAACACACAGGGCCATCCCCGGGGCGCTACCAACATACCTGTCGGAGGCCCGTCGGAGAACGACCGCCCGCACCAACAGCGGAAGGAGCCGCTGCTGCTGCCGCCGCCGTGGCCGCCGCTTCCGCCGCCGCTTCTGCCGCCGCTGCCTCCATTGCCGTGATTCTGGCGTTCAGCTCTCGCACCGCGGCCTCCTTCTCCGACAGCTGTCGGGCGGTCTCCTCCGCCAGGCTTTTTTCCTTCAACATCTAAAGGCAACAACAACAACAACAACAATATAGAGAAGAATCAAAGAAAGCCAGGGCATGGGGCAGCGTGCTACAAACGACACCTTCCTAGCATCAACAGAGAGCCAGCGCATGGGGCAGCGTGGTACGAGCGATACCTTTATTCTTACAATAGCGCCGCGTCACGTTAAATAGACGCTGCGCACTCCTCAATGGGAGGTTTCCGCGGACGCACAGCTCTTGCCACCGCAATAGACACGACGGGGACGCCTTGGAACTCTCTGCACCTATCTGCGGCAAGTAGTTTTACGATGGAGAATTTTTCTTTTGCTACTTGCTTTTCGGGACGTCCCGAAAGAGTGTCTGAAAGGGAAAGGAGGGCGCGCAGTCTCAATTCCGCACGAACCTGGGCGCTGGCGTGGTCGCAGGCCTCCTGCCATCGCGTCACGTCCGCCTCAAGGGCCTCCAACTTATGGCTGGCGGCATCGACGGCGGGCCAATCCTGCGCCAGGGCCAGACAGACACATGAGACAGGAATGGCGCATCTCTTCAGCGGACAGTCAGCCGGGAGGCCACAATGCCACGCTGCTCTTGCTTCCTTGGTGGTTGGCATGGAGGTATGAAATGAACGTCTCACTCTCTCTCCTGATGTTTCCATCCCTTCCGCCGCACCATTTCAAACAATACTAGCAGCACAACCCGTAAATGTAGCGTGCCGAGACAACATTTAAATTCTGCGACAGACAAGGCCCAGACACGTCTTTGTTCCGCAAGCAACGACAACAACACCGCCCTCCCTCCCCCCGCCTCGAATTCTCCCTCCTCTCGAGGACGAGTGGTCAAACAGCTAGGGCATGCAAAAACATGCGTACATCCCCCCCCCCTTCCCCCCCTGCAGCCAGTAGCCTTTGCAGGTTTTCTATTATGCAAACATGTCGGATAAAGCATACAACCGAGGAATTTGGGTTAGGGTTAGGGTTAGGAAATACGGTCTGCGTGCCCCCTCACTGGTCTATTTCCTCATCAAATTTCATTTCTAGCGAAGGCGGTCCCCTGTAACCAACCTCTTCCGTGTTCGTTCCCGTAGAAGCTCTCATCGAGGCCTTCTCCACCCATGCCCCCGCCGACACCGCCTCCCCCTCCCCTCCCTTGTCGGCCGGCGGCGGTCTGTTCGCGGCCCTGCTGCGCTCTTCTTCCATCTCGGTCCTGAGGGCGCTCTCGCGCCCCTCTGCAGATTCCTTCTCCTTCTTGTAGAGCGACACAGCTACCTCCACTGCGTGGTTGGTGTTGAGAAGGGGGGGTGGTTACGTGGGGTCATCGTGTTTGGTGCTTGCTTGCTTGGTCTCGTTTTTTTTCCCTGGAATGTTGCACGCAAGGCTTGAGATCAGGCCACAGCGCCGAGCGCTCGATTCGACCCTGGAAATTTACACACAAGGCCGGCTGACAAGTTTGCTTCCAGGAGCCCTCTTTTTGCCCTCCTCGTTTGCTTGGAGCTGTTATTGGTGTTGTCCACTTGTCATGCGTCCTTCACGTACTGGTAGCACAACGGTAGGCAGGGTTCGAACCGCCTTCTTCCATCCTCAAAGCGACCGTATCGTGCTATCGAAGCAGTTGTTCTTCTTTCCCTGCTCGGGTACAGTAATCTATCGCCATTGAGGCTACGTTCTTGCCGTCTAGACTACCACCGACCATGGGAAGAACGAACGCAGAAGACAGCACTGGTAGGTATAGTAAATAACGGTTTCATGTAGACCTGAAATTCAAAAGCAATAACAACAACAACAACACTCACGTTCTTCCGTCCTCGCGATCACATCGTCCATCCTCGAATAGGCGTCCTCTGCCGCCGCTCTATTTCAGCAAAATGGACAACATATCGACCGGCGAGCGCGTAGCAACGGCAAAAAAAAAAAGAAGTTAGAAACAGTGTTTGTGAGCTAAAACAAGTGGAGGCCTGACAGGGGGCAGAGAAGACGACCCTCCCTCCTCACGAACGCCCTCCCCATTCAAAAATGCGTAATTTTTGGAGATCGACTTCAAAAAAGGTGGTACAATCTCCTCCAACGTCTACCGAGAGGACGATCCCCTCTCTTCACATCGGCGTCGACGAAGAGATGCCTGGATCTACCACCGAGCTACCGGCAACGACATCCTCCGTCCTAACCTGGCGTCAGCTTCCCTCTCCAAGGTCGAGTCGAGCAGCGCGGAGAGTTTCTTCATCTTGTTGCTCAATCCTTCGATCGCCTGTACCCGCTGGCTTGGCCCCGTTGGCACTAGCAACGCGTCATCCTCTTCCCCCTGTAGGCACCGGGGTTTCGATGTCGGCAGAGAGGGATTTGAGAGAACCACGCCAGAGAGGGAAAAAATAGGCGTATCGTGGTAGCAGTTCGGTGGCCAACATTGGTGGGCTCAAACAGTAGTGGGCACTACAATGTTGCGTTGTACAATTGTTAGACGTACAGCATACCTACCATGCTACAAGCCAAGTCAGCGCTGACTTGTAGCATAGTGGAAATGCTGTACATGTTGACACACTGAAACCGGCAGGCTCGAGGAGCGCGCCTCTTGAACGACTGCATGCATCAAGGGCAATGCAGCAACAACTACAACGGTTCGCCTGCCGATCTACCGCGCTCCCTCTGCTTCCACTCCCGACCCCGTGTGCGCACCTCTGATGCGCCACACAGCTCCCAACCGGCCGCACCAGCGAGGACTCTGTTGTCCTCCTCGAGCCCGGCAATCTGCTCTCGGAGTTCCTCTAAGCTCGCCTGGCGATATGCGGAGGTGCGGGGTTGAGTTTAGACTCTCCCAAGCAAGCCGTTATCCTCAAAACCCAAACCGCATGTGCTCTACAAACGCTCATGGCCTTGGTTGAAAATTCTATAACTATCGCCGAATTTGCTCTATGCCTTTGGCCTACTTTACACGTAGGGACCCTTGTCCTAACCTTGAGGGGGTAAGAGCAAAAAACGAAACGGCCTTGCTTGACCTAGGTATAGAAACGCCTCCGACTCTTTGTTACCTGATGCCGTGGCGTGTCGGGCCACAACATGGAGTCGCACTCGCTGTCAACACCACCACTACCGCCACCACGGCCGTCGCCATCGCTGCTCCTGCTGCCGCCGCCGCTTACCCCGTGAAGCTGGTCCCTTAGCTTCGAGACCGTGTTTTCCAAGCGGTCTACCTCCCGGTCGGCGGCTTCCAGATCGGTCTGATCGATTAACGACATCGAAAACAGCAACGCGAACGCAGAGTCGACGCGTGTCATGCCATGGGGGAAGGACACCTAGCTCTTGACGGATGTCTAGTACGGCGGCCACAGCACCACCACCAACAACAACAACAACAACAACAACAACATCAACAGCACCTACACCCTCGAGCATAAACCCAACTCACGAGAAGGGTCGCTGGCCCCCGCCACTTGGAGCGGTCCTCCGTCTGGTACAGCTTCGCCAGTCGGTCCTCGTACTCCTGTACGGCGAGCTTCAGGTTGAACACCTCCGACCCCATCGCGTCCATCTCCGCCAATCGGCGGTCCTCCCTGTCCTGATCGCGGCTGTTCGCGTGCCCCCCCGACATGGTAGCTTGAACACAAAATTGGCTCCCCCTCTCCCTCGTGCCGAGGGCCGTTCAAGGCCCAAGCCAACACCTTCTGTGGGCGGCGGAGGAACATCGGAATGGGATAAACGGGGGGCAAGCTGCAAGACATGAGCAGAGAAAGCAACGCACCCAGTGTTCCCACCTGCTACCGTTGTTGCGTCCGCCAAGCACGAACGTTTCACGTGAAAAATACGTTGTGCGGATATGGATACACATCAACGTGCACCCGGGGTATAGCAGTCTACACAAGTATTGGCCCACAACACCTGTCGCAGCGTTTTGGAGATCCGTGAAGCCATTAGACGACGACTGCAACAGATCAAGGATATTGCCGAAAGCAGTCATGCCGAGCAAAAGGTCAGGCAGGCACCATGCACGTGATTTGATGCCGGTGAAGCTTGACGTACAACAACAAACCGTTAAACCCACACTTGGGGTTACGAATACGGCAGTTGCGAATGTTGGAGAACTGTTCTGTCCCGCCGGCCTCTCCCCCCTCGGATGCCTTCTACGGATGACACACAAAGCGATGTGCGTGTCACCCTATACCCTGGACGGGGGTATCTACGTCATTTGATACATGTCGGCGCATACAACTGCGTACCTGCCATTTTCACGCAGCCGAGAAAGGCCGCACATCAGGATATTATTTTTCTCTCCATAGCGGAGGTGCTGACCTTAGTTTTTATCGCAATAGAGGCAAGCAGTTGGCTCATTCCCTCGTCGCCTACCGTCAATTTCGGGGTTTGTGAACCCAAGACATGGTCGTTCTGTGAGTACCGACGTTCCCGAAGGAGTACATGACGGCCCCGCTCTTGTCGCGTGTGAACTGACTGCGGTTGGCTCTGAAACCAACGAGCCTACACAGCACCAACACACCAGACAGAGCCAAGACACCGTAGCCCTCGCCGCATAAATATGGACCAAACTTGAGATACCTTGACAACAAGGGACCCCAGCCAACAACAAGGGGCGTCCAATCTGCTGTGTATCTCGAGGCGAGCGGTGCACACAGCACAGGTTCTGGCGCGAAAAAAGGAAGCTCGGGTGCCTGTCAACTGCTGTCGAGTATTTATCGCAGAAGAGCGCTCGCCTCTCTCGCTCTCTCTCTCTTTCTTTCTCTCTCTCTCCACCTTCTGTCGCTCTCATCAAAGCCATCGATCGTGGTCATCAACGCAAGGGTCTGTCAACGCAAGGGTGGATTGAGTCCCTGCTCTGCTCGTTTTCGTTAAACATAGCTGCACCGATAGGTGAGCTGATCCGGGATTTTCCTGCAGACAGATTCGTGATAAACTATCCAACGTGCATCGACACCTCGCTGCCAACAACCCTATATTGCTCCAGAGCTATCACCCGAGAACCTCTCGAGGCGAAGACGCAGACAACACACCTAGACCATCCTTATCGCCACATCAGCTTCTGCTGCTTCGAGCGCTACCCGACGGCAGAGAGTTTATAGCCTACGATGGGCGCGCGCGAGCGCAGGCAACACACGTTCGGCTGTCTCAGCAATTCGTCCGCCTCAAGGAATTGTTTGGTACAACCACCATCGTAGCAAGTCCTCAAACGTACCTCCCACCCAATACTACTCACCTGGAACAGGCGAACCGTGTACCCGCCAGATTCCTTGTGCGTCGCTGTGAGGGTAGGGGCAGGGGAGATGGCGTGAGATCAACAGCTCAACAGCAGTGTCGTGAACTATCCAGTTTTGGCGCGAAGCTCGGGAGTTCGATCACGCTCCAGCAGGATGCTTGCTATCAGGGGGATGGGAGTCATATTTCCGTTTTTTTTTGGCGTCCCACGAAAAAACCCGTCATTCAACTTTTTTTTTCGAAGTTGGAACTTCGAGAGGCGTTCAAACGTTCACACACACGGCCAGCAGCAGCAGAGGCACGTAGATCAATGGTTTGCGAAGAGGAGTATGAGCTGCTGGATCAGATTGGTCGAGGCTCCTACGGTAAAGTCTACCGGGCCCAGCACGATAGCGGGGAGGTGCACGCGATCAAGGTACGGTCAGCGAGTAAAATTGCACTGCACAAGTACTGCTGTGATGCTGGATGGAGTGTTCGCGTAATTTGTTCTCGCTTCCCACTACAATACGTCTTGGCATACCAGTCTAGTGCTATTTTTCGTGCACTCAACACACACGGTTTTTGAGTCTCGCCAGCACACAGCTTCTTGTTCCGTGGGCATGGAAAGCTTTGACGTAGTGGCTGGATGCACGTGTGTAGCCCACTGCCGACAGCCGGGCCAGGCCGAATCGAGCCTCCAGGCACAAGAAGAAAATAATGGCCAAACCTTTCGCCGCTGGTGCCTGTTCGGTTCGACGTGTCGCCGCAGCGCAGCGCACTATAACGGCAGACAGACACACACGCATTTTGAGGGTGCTGTTAGCCATCATCACATGCACTGCCTTACGCAAGAACAGGGAGGCCGTGTGGAATCGTCTCGGTCTGTTCCTCGTGTTGCGAAACGCAGGGACGCTGGCCGCCGAGAGGACATCAATACGAGAAAGAACGCACACCACGTGCAGACTGATCGATGATTTCCAGATTTTACGTCATCAGTTGTTCAACTTCCTCGCCAGAGACCAATCCTCCAGACCGCATGTGTCCCACACCACAGCAGCAGAGTGCAACACCACACAGCAGTATTGGGAAATCCGTCCATCCCATTTTGCGGCGGTACGTTGTCCAGCAGAAACTGGCACCGGTTGTTCGGGGCGTTGCTTCCGGTGGCCTCTCGGTGCATGTAAGAACCTTCGGACGAGCCAAACGTCGCTCCGCGTTTCCAACCCTCGGTGCAGAACCAAGATGGGCAGTGAAACGACGTACTTGATGCGAACACATGCGGTTGTCCGGGTACCGCGGGGCACGCCGCAGCAATTGCGCGTGCGGGCTCTTTCGAGCCTTTCTCAACAGCGGCGTGCCGCCATTGTTGTCTACGAGATACTGCTGTAATATGTGTGTAGCGCTCAGCATGTGCGTACATGTTGTCGGATCAGCAGTCAGCCCAACTATTGTGCGCTGCGTCGTTCGGGAAGTTGCAGACGACC